GGAAACCATTAATGGTGGTCGAGTAGATTCTGTTGTGCGGGGTCGAGAACCCTCACTCCGCGCAAAAGGGATAATCGCACGTTGTGTTAATTGGTCAAGCACCCTGGAGGCAGTTACACAGCGCTTATAACTGTCTCTGGAAGTGAAAGTACCAGAAAATAAATTAAGTCATATGCAGCTGTCATCCGTATGCAAGGAAGTAAGCACAAGATGCCGAACACCCTTAGCAGGATGCGGCGCACCCTTCATGAGACTCGCCGAATACCTCACGGCACTTCGCGCTTGGTGGTGTGAGAGCCTGACCCGGTGAGAACCCGGCGTGCTCCGTCCCGGCTTTGTAGGGATGCGAGGTCAATGGTCTAACGACTACGGCAAGCACGACTATGAGTACACCCCCCCCCCCTGACCACCAAGGTTTTTTGTTTGTCGTCCAATGTGTTGTTGTTTTCGTGTGGTGTTTCTCCCGGTGTCTAGAATCCTGGCCGCGATTCTGAACGCGAGGGCTCGGCGAGCGGTGGCTTGGAGACACGAGATCCCCCATGTGAGAAGGGTGCTCGACACGATGCAGCAGCTCAGGATCAAGCCCCACGAAAACGAGCTCCGGTTCGTGAGGCAGCTGGTCGACAGGGGAAAGTTCGAGCATTCCTGGCTGCCGGTCGACCCCAACGCCAACCTCAAGAGGGTGAGGAGGAGCTAAATAGGGCAGCGTAGGAGGAGCACGTGGTTGTCCTTGAGGGGTCTCATATGATACGCGGAATCGTTGTCTTGTTGTTGGAGATGATTTGTCGGAGGTGAGGCTCAAAGGCGACACCATCTCCCGTTTGAACTGGGAAAGTTTCCCTCCTCCAAATCAAGCCTATTTTCTGTGGTTCGCTCCGTGTCTGACTGTTCTATCTCTCGTCGCGGTGTTAGTCGGAGCGTCCCCCCCCCCCCCGCTCCTTTCCTCTCCTGACCAAAACGCCTGTTGACGGTGTCCAAACCTTGACCTATCCGTTGCCTAGCTGTATAAAGAATGCCCTGTTGGTATCCGTGACCCTCAGTAACCTACTCAGAGTAGTTGGTATCGCCGCGCTTCCTTCTTACGAAAATCCCGTTTTTGCCTATGAACGTTGCTCGCCTTGCTTTTTTTTTCGCTCTCCCTCACAGATGAAAGTCGAGATGAAGAAGTCGAGGGCCGTCAGGAAATCGTACTACAAGGTAGTCAGCAAGATCACGAACGCGAAGTTCATGCAAGGAACCGGTCGCGGCAAGAGCAGGATAGAGTAAGGCAGCTACGGGTAGGATTAGCTAGAATAGCTGTACTCCAACCCAAGCACCAACCCAAGCACCAGCAGTGGCTGTACGCCAGCCCCAGGATCGCCCTTGAGCCTAAGAAGCCCTTTCGCGCCTTAGGATACGCCTCTCCTCTCACGACGGGATTGAGTCACGTTGTATTGAAAGCAAACAGTGTTCTTTTTTTTTGTGTGTGTACAGTAGGTTGGGAGATTCTCTGCATCGTTGATTCCGTCCCGCGGGCGCTCTGAACGTTGGGACGACCTGAGTATTGTGCCGCATGGCGAAGTAATATGAACCACAATGCGGCAAGGACGAACTTGTCAGGTGCAACGTCCGGAAATTCAAGTGCCGTCCCTGTTTAGTATAACGTGTGTTTTTAATGCTTAGGTTCCTCGAAATACTCTGATGCGGAGGTGCATTGACTGCATTCCGAACTTATTTCTGCTGTGCATTCGAAATAGAAGTTCAAAGGCTTTACGGCTGTAACTGCTGTAGTGGAGACACTCTGACTCCGCGGGATGTTTGGTTGTCCGCGAAACGCGCTATTTTTCTGTAGACTTTGTAGCCCCCCCCTGTGGACTTGTGAGCAAGGCACGGCAATAGTACGCCCTCGAAGACAGGGTTATGCAAACAAAATGCATCACGACTGACAAAGTTGAAATTCTACCTGTGGAGTTGGGAACGAATGCATAACTCTCCGGCGAGCAAATTAAGTGCATCAAGCCGCATGCGTTTAGAATCAAGCCTTTCAACGATCCTTAGCAGGACAGAATTGCTTGACGCACTTTTCCAGGGTCAATGAGTTCCCATGCTCCGTATACATGTCGTGTCTTTGTGAGGAGTCCCTCCCCGCTTCCGTTCTCAACGCTGAAGCATCCACCAACAGTAGTGACAGCTTGGGACTACAAGAGCAATGCCAAACGTCATCGTCGGAATGCTTTGAACAATCCCAACTGAAACGGGGTGAGGAACCACCGTACGGTTGCAACCCTGATCTTTGGATAAACCATCGCGAGCCGATGCCGCACGCTCAAGTCGAAGGACGAAACACCACCACGAACAGAAGCCATTACAGTGGGGGGCCCTCTATAGTGCCAGTGTTTTCAGCTCGCACACACTGAAATACAAAGTTATTCTGTACTCTGAATAGTGACGGTGCCCGGAATAGTGCCGGCAAAGTCTCGGGACGCACCCCAGCACTAAAGAGGGCCCCCCGCTTATCTCATCAACCAATCAAAATCAATCGTCGCCCGGCGATCACCATGATCATGATCATCTCGACCAGATAGACACGGTGCGGTATGTACAGGATTCACTGCCTTCGGGGGTCGCCCTTTCTTCCTGCCCGGAAACGCGTTCCCGTCTTCTTCCTTTTTTGGAAAGTCGTCTCGTTGGAGGCGTCGCAAGCAAACGTGCGCGACCGCCCCAAAAATGCGTTTGTTTACCGCGTGTGTCCAGAATGGCGTGCTGCCTTGCTTTCGTGGGCCAACGGGAGACTACGTTAATCGCCGAAGTACACCATTAGTACCCAGCTCGCTACTACGAATCGTGAATGTCGGGTCGAGTTTTCTTAATTCGCCCTCCACCGTCGACGGTAGACTACTGTACCATATTCGATGTGTGCAGTGTACTGTAGGATCCACCGCTGAGCTAGACATGTTCCTTACCCCCAATTCCTTATTCTTACGGGAAATTTGAGCCTGTTCTCTTCTTTCAGCTTCTTTTCTGACCAGCTGGCCGATCCTGTACACACATATGGATGTGTCGATGGCCCTGGTGTACCCTAAAACCCCTACGGTACTTCTCCTGGCTCAAGTTCCTGTCTCTCTGCTCTGCCACTGTCCTTCTGTTCCGGCGAAAACGCCTCCTTATCTTCCCCAACTACACCATCGTCGGGATCTCTGAGTTGGCCTGCCGGTACTACTGCTGCTGTATCAGAGCCTTCCGCGGGGCCCCCATTTTCCTTCCCGGCGGGCTCGGCGGCTAACAACTCCGTTGATTGGGCGAGGTCGCGGTAGTAGTCCACACCGGTGGCGGTGCACAGGTCGAGCTCGGCTTCTGCGACGGCGCGCTGAATCTCGGTTTGTCTCCGCCTGGTGCCCACGGAGGGCGAATTGTTTCGGGCAAAGCTCTCTTGTTGTTGTGGCACAACTCTCTTGGTTTTCTCTTAGCGAAAAAAAAAAGAACTTCCGGCCTTTGCTCAGTACCTTCAAACATCCATCCCTACCTGTCCAACTGACGGCATCACAGGCCAACTACCCAAAAAAGGGTACTTGTACACACATCCTAAAAACAAAAAGCTTGAGAAGTCGGAAATGGTGTGGGGTTTCTACCTATGCCGTAGGGGAGGTGACATAGTCTAGATATAGGGGATGCCTCGTACACGCGAGCACCGGGAAACAGTTCTCCTTCGAACATTGACATTTCTCGGCGGCAGGTCTAACGTAGCGCTCGACTCATGCTCTATCCCATGCTCGGCCAAAGAGCGAGCGCAGACGCACGCTGGTTTGTGTACAGCCAACAGGCATTTCGGTTCAACCCGGCGCTATACTACGATACCCATCTACGATCACGGGTCCATGGCACACAAACTCACCTGCCAGGCCTGTTCCCAACTTTCAACGCCACCATGGGCCGCGATGATCGGTCCCACTCCCTGCCGCCTCCTTCCTCTAGGAAACCGTCCAAATCCTCCTCCGACAACGCAGGAGGCGCCTCCCCCATCTCCGCCCCGCTGCTCGCCTCCCCGGCTGAACAAGACCCAGTGCCTTCCGACGCCGTCGAGATATGATGACGCAGCCACGATGCCCCGGCAACCCCGACCCCGCCGCTAGCAACCCCGAGACCTCTACGGGCATCGTCCCCGTGCCAGGAAAGTCTCTGCGCCGTCTGCCCCGGCTCTAGGCTCTGGCCGCTGTCGCTAAGGGACGGTGATCCAGCGTCACCCCCGACGCCACCACCGATCTCGACACCAAGGCCCGCACTCTGCTCCGGAAACCCTGGCCTGCGTAACCCACCGTCACCGTTCTCGCGAACCGTTCCTGGGAACGGTCCTCCTAGAGACCGTGAACCACGCCGTCGGCCGCCACCACCGCTGCCAGCAACACCACCGCTACACCCCTTACCGTCATCAGTCTGGGCGTGAAGAGGAGCCTTGACATGCCCGCCACGCGAAGACCCCCGGTTTCCCCCCCTCTTAAGGCGGGGGTGCGCAGACATGAGCAGAGTCAAGTGCGGTCTCGGCCCCCCTCCTCCTCCTGAGCTCCAATCCCGACCGGCGTTGCTGACCCCCAGGGCCTCGGCCTCGCCAGACCGATTACCGCGGGTCTGGGCCGGGGCCGGGGGCGGGGGCGGAGGAGGGAGTTCCCCTTCTTCGAGGGCGTTGTACCTGGAGGCACCGGAGGGGGTTAACCTGACCAGCTCTCCGTCGCTGAAGGACCCTCGGAGTTGTCCCTCTGACATGGACGACCTTGACTCGCTGGTTTCGTCGGAAAGGAGAGGAGAGGCAAGGAGAGGCAAGGGAAGGAAAGGAAGAACACAGCTCGGTTTTCGCTGATGAAAGAAAGGGAGAAAGATGTACTATTTTAGCAGATGGAAAAACGGGCTCACAAGCATCACCAGCTTAAAACACGCGAGGGGACCAAAGAAAAGAAAGTGAGAATCGCTATCGTGGTGAAGTCACAAGGAACGGAGATGCAGAGGCTTGAATCAGGAAAACGCAAAGGGTGTCGTACGCCCATCAGGCAGAAACGGGCGGCTTGGCAGCGTTAGATTTTATCGTGAAATCATTTGTATTCGTCATGAATGTAGTGTGAGTTGTGAGTCAACAGGTAAAATGAAACGTAGAAAATCCCTGCCTGGAGAAACGGCAACAAGAGCGCTCAATGTTGTAAACGTCTGACGGTTTCACAAACAACACGCGTGTAATCATAGATCCAGAAACAGCGTCATCGTGGTGCGATTCCTGTCCCGGCTACATGTAGGAAATAGCGGATTGAGGTCTCATCACGATCTCACGCGGCAGCTCTCCAGCTTGCAGCATAAAACTCGACTCCATCGCTAGCCAATGAAACCAAGTTCTGGTAGAACCTACACACGGCGGCCAGTTCTCAGCCTCAACAGATCACGGCCCCAGTTTACCCACGACAGCTGTAGGGATTCGGGTGTCCCACCTCCTAGCTGGCGTTGGGTGCTGATGCGCTACGGCAACAGCAGGGCCCGCCGGAGAGTCTTCGAGCGATAAGGCCTCAAGGAAACTCCTATTGCCACAGCTGCTGCTGCTGCTGCTGGGGATGCTTGGAGTAGGGACTGGTGCCTTCCGCGGCTGCGGAGTGTGCGACTGAACCTGTTAGAAGAGATAGATGACAAACGCAAACAACAGTAGTGAGATCGACTCAAAAACGTTAGCGCCAGGAATCAGCAGGATTTCGAGTGGGAAAGCAACTATTGCGACCGAGCTTCACCAGACAAACCAAGCTGAGGGCCCCCGAAGACGAGTGGGCAAAGCGTGTTCCGTGGGATGTCAGGAACACCTGATGTCCTTGAGAACCGCAGGCGTGTTTCTTTTCTCGAGAGCCGTCGTGGTAGGTAGAGGTCCCGTGCTATCCGTTCGGGTGGGGAGACCGGTTCGCCACATATCGAAACAAGCTGTGATGAGAAACAAACGAAAGATAATTCTCCGCTAGTACGAGAAACATCTGGCCTGCTACCTACGATAGATGCAAAGCGACACATGCAAATATCAACATTCTCGCTGTGGAGACGATCCTCTTCTTGCAGACAGATACCCCGAGGTTCACCAACAAAACCCCGACGAAAAACAAAACTCGATAACAACCCCGCACCAATGTTGATTCGGAGAGCAGTACACGTCTACCTACCATGAAGAGCAACAAACAACCACTGACCTGCTGCAGCTGGCTTATCCTTTGCCTCTCCAGGCGGCCCTCTTCTCTCAGCTCCGCGATCTCCCTTGCGACTACCCTTGCCCGCTTCTCCGAACCGTGTTCCATCTCCTCCAGCCGATGCATGACCTCCGATTGCCGCTGTCGCCCGTCCGCTCCCTGAAAGTGTTGATGGATCGGTCCGTCGGTAAATCGATCCGTTCGGGTAAATCGGGTACCGTAGAGTGTGAGCTTATTGCGCACCCCCTGGGCTAACTATCGAAGCACAACCAAGAGGGTGGGAAAAATCTGATCGATGCGTGCGAGGAAAACAAGCCCTCTCTCGGTGAGATATTTCCGTTTTCCGCCCTTTTCAGCATCGCAGCCTCTTGAGTTGGAGAGGAGTCTAATTGAACCTAACCGAATCTAACGTCAAAATCGGTCTAGGGGGTGAACGAGGCCCGCCCCTTCAGGAAAAAAAAAAGAAGCCGAATGCCTGTGTGTTTCACTCGTGCATTATTGTGGCCGTTTGGTTGGAAACCGACTAGCTGAAACGATGAGCTGCTCCTCAGGTGCTCCAGCGAAAGACGAAGGTTGGCCGGTAGGTGAGGTTCGCCGTTCTTGCGGGTCGATAGCATGATAGCATGATAGCATGATAGCATGATGGGTGCTTCGGTGTCAACTGCCTGCTGGGGCTGACGGTTGAGACAAAATGTTACCAGCATTTCGGCCCGTCGTCGACCCGTAGCTCGCTGCACTAGATACCGCTCCTACTAGATACCATGCTTCGTGCGTTGGCACCAATCCCAGGAAAAACAAGTACCCCCTCCCCCTTCACGACCCTCCCCCCATGTAGGAAACGAAAGCCTTTCTTACCTCTTTCCTTGTCTCCTCCATCGCTTGCCTGGCCAAACCCTCCGCCCCTTCCGCCCTCGCCAAGGCTCTCTCCTCGACTGCACTCAGCCTTTGGGCCACCGATAGTACGGCAGTGGCCAGAGAAAGGTGTAGCCTCTCGCCACCTTGACCATCTTGCTGTGGTTGCAGCTGCTGCTGTTCTTGTTGTCGTGAGGTAGAAGAGACTGGAAGGGGGGAGTCGGGAGGGGGGTGTCTATGTCTGCCCTCTCTAGCAGACTTGGCGCGCGCCTCCTGCTCCTGGGTCGTAACAAACACCAGCAGGCGGTAGATAGGACGGCGTCTTTAGGGGATACTTACCGCAAGAAGCACAAAAAAAAACTTCCATCCCATATGTGAATCAGTTTTGACACTGTTTCGTGTGGGAAGGACGGCGGAAAATCAATCAAGAAAACACAAAAGATAAAAAACCCCGGATCTTCCGGATTGGGCATGACACGAACGAGTTTGTGGGTCCTTCTTCTTCGCTTTGGTGTTTCCTAGATGGCCTGACGTCACGGAAGGCATCCGCGTAAGTTGGATCGGTAAAAGTGTTATAAGGTACTGAGTAGACACCGGAACGGTTTCTATTGTGCAGAAAACAAGAGTGCGGCCCCTCTATCTTCGTTCGCCACCGATGCCTGCCTTCTGTACTCAAGACGCTGCTGCCAATCACGTTTGCCCTTGTTCTAATGTTCAGCTGTGCGACATGCATCTGCGGGCATCACTCGCAAACGGTAAACACCGTACCGTCCTTGTTCCCGCATAACTGCTTCGTATTACCCATGATAGTATCATACCACGGAACAGGACCAAAACCACACCAGAACAAAAATATATATTTAGGTATGTAGACATGGCACGCATCTTGCACGCTACCCAAACCCCAACCGACAGCAGTCTCACCAATGCCTCCGCCTCGCTGTCTCCATCAACGTCACTCCCAGGGGATGAAAGTCCGCCATCCCGTTCTTCGGCACACCTCTTCGCCTCGGACTCAGACACCGCAGAGAGGAACCTGCGAGACTCCAGCGCCGACGCTCGCTTCCTGACGGCCGTTTCAGGGGACAAAGCCCCCGTGTCCCCTCTTCTCCCCGCTTCCCACAGGAGTTCCTAACAAGCATATGCCATTTGGGCGTTCAGGCATGCTTTGTGACGGAACCATATCTCTGGAAAGAGACCATGTATGCACACCCCCGTGGGCGTTCTGTGTGTCAAACGGTGTCTTTTTACCATCAGGTATTTCAGCCGGTTGAAGGACATGGCATACGAAGTGCAAGGGCTTTCCGAAAGCCGTTCGGTACCATCAAACGACACGCTCGTGCACCGCACACACGTGGGCCGCCGCTGCAGACCAGTGCCATCAAACACCCCGACGATGATGCTTCCCCACAAGGGGTAATCCAAGTGCTGAGTTTACCATGTATCGAATGTCGAAGTTTCAATCCTACAGTACCTCAGAAGCGCCCTTCATCGATCTCACTTGTAGACCGAGTCCTCCTTCTTTCCCTCGTTTCCGTCATTTCCACATTTTCACACCTGAACATCCGGTTCGCCGGCGGCACGACTTGTGCCTGTTCGGCTCGATCCGGAATTGGCCCCGCCGCCGACGCCGAGGACACCGGCCTCTCCCTTCAAGGCACCACCCGGACCGCCTGCATCGTGCCAGAGAACACACAGAGTGACAATACTGGAAGCACCGCCTGCCCTCTGCGCATTGTTCGCGTTCAAATTCCAGTTTCGTCTATTGAAAAAGGATTTAGAGAGGCGATAATAGTAGTGGTCCCGGAACAATGCCGGTGAAACCGTCTGGCACAGATGGAATATTCAACTTGTTTCATACCCTGAAAAAAATCGCTACCACTTTTGTATACTTTGGAGTATCCTTATGTTTAGGCTATACGTAATAATAGACGTAAACCCACCAAATAAATAAATGTAGGTTATGTGACCGTTCTAAATCCTATGCACTGAAGCGTCAAAGTATCGCGCCCCGAGGGGCGACGCCACATCGTCATTCATCAGTCATCAGAGGAAGCCGTTCGAGGCGAAGAAGTTCTCAAGCTCTCGAGGCGCGGTGGACAGCAAGGCCGAGTCCATCGCCGAATCAATTTCCAGACCACCACAACAAAAGCACGGGAGAGGGGAGAGGGAGTGATGGTGCAAGCGGGTGTATACCACTGCCAGCAACTGCTGTACCGCCACACATGACAAAAAATGCAACAGCAACACCTGACGACGTATGTATGCACACGAAAGAGTGAGAAGGCGTACCAGAGGCGACATATTCATACACTACACCCGATCGTAAATGAATATGAATATTTTTGGACCGATCGTAAAAAACTCGGTTGCTCCGCAACAAAGGGGAAGCCGAAATCAAACCGCAGTACGTCTTCGGAAAGCTCTCGACGAGACGGTGGTTCAGAAACACGGTCATCTTTCGGCACCAAGGATTAGGATTCGAGCTTGGTCCAGGGGATGGGGTGTGGTGTCTTACGTCATCCACGGTATCTTTTATCTGAGTCCTCACCGGCCAAGGCACGACCCAAGGAGGTTTTGAAGACCTTCTCAGCCGCTCCATCGCCATCTTCCTCCAGAGGGACGTCTTTCCACCCGCTCCCGGCCGCAAGCAAGCGCCCCAGGTTCGACCTTCTCGTTGCCACAGCGAACAAGAGACACAACATACAGACGCTTTCGGTATGTACAGAGTTTTCGAGTAACTAAAATGCCATGTTTTCAGATGAAAAACCGCTGTCCAGAGGGAAATTACTCCACCCACTCCCCGCGGCAAGAACGCGCCGCAGCAAGTTGGACTTTTCTCAAGATTTTTTTTCGATATAACAAACGGCATATTTGCGCATGGGAAACCTTCGTCCACGTGGGTCTTCTCTGATTTTTGGGCTCTACAAGGACACGCAGTGGTGCCAACATTGGCTGATATCTGCGCTATCCAATCACGCTGAACCGGGTAAAATAATTGTAGGTGTGCGGCTTCTTGGAAATAGAGAGCATCTCTCTCACACGTTGAATAGTGCCGACCTTCCAGATACAACAGACTCCCCTCCTTGCAGTCCGTCTCTCAATCCAATCCCTCACTATACGCTAAATACGAGGTCAACCAAAAGCAGTGTCCGTTGTGGTCCCATACGCCCCCCTAACTGATCACACCAGCCGCTCGTCTTGAAAAACGCACACGGACAACCTGCCCCCTTCAAGCTCGGGGAATCAACACCAAGACCACGGACAGACTCTCGCGTTGTCGTCGGACAGCAATCGCCTAGAGATCAACAGATCTTGACGCTACTACAGTAGTACTATCGAGGACAACCAGAAACACACCTGAAGGTTTGTGGCGGTGGCTGCTGTGCCGATACACCCCCCGCCTCCCCCTTCTCTTCCTCGGTGCCCCCGTCGTCTCTAACCGCCACCACCTTCGCCGCCGCGACACCTTGGCCTTGAACACCCATCCCCGAACCTTCCCCGTTCGTGCCCGACCCCGATTCTTCTGCCAATTCCGCCGCGTCGTGCTCGCTTGTGATTGGCCAGAACCTGTCCGTCGGAGTAGGTCGATCAACCAGCTGCTGTTCCCCTTGCCCTCCGTCTGCCGACCCGCTTTTTCCCTCCTCTTCTCTCCTGGTTGAGTCCGCGCCAGCAGCAGCAGCAGCAGCAGCGGCAGTGAGCCGCAACGCAGCTGATGCCGCCCCTGATTCGGCTTCCCTCTTCTCGAGGGCCAGCTCCCGCTCTCTAAGGGAGAGCTCCTGATTGGCCAAGAGGACGCGCCGGCCCTCCACCTCCGCACGAAGGGCCTGGTCAACCAAAACGACCACATCAGCAGCGATCGAATCGAGTGGGGGATGCGGCAAATTAACGCAACGACGGAAAATCCAGCAGCAGCAACCTAACACAATCGATCAGCCAATCATCGCCCCCACCCGCCTCGCCCCTCCAAACGCCAACGCCACAGCTCTACTCCCATCCCGCACCCATCAACGCAACTATGGTACAAAATAGCCAACCTACTCCTCTCGCCTGCATGAGGGCCGACCTCTCCTCCCCCATCTCCCGCTGCTGCCCCACCACCTCCCGCATGAGGTCCAACAGCTCGGGAGAAGCCGCCGCTGCCTCCGTCGAGCTCTTCCCAGCCTGCCCCTCACCAGAAAGCGTCTCAGAGATCGACGGCCTGGCCGTCGGCGGAGCAGCCGACATCGCCAACATGCCGGCTAGCTCCACCCACGCGCCGTCCTGCACCGACTCCGGCGCTACTGCCGCCGCCTCGAGCCGCCCGGTAGTTAGCCGAATCTCCCGCTCCGGCCTACCATCGTCGTTATCTTCCTTGGCGGCGAGGATAAGCCTGGCGTCTCCGCTGTGGAGAGCTTCGGCGCCGCTGGCGCCGGTAGCGCTCGTGGCGCCAAAGGCAGCGGCGGAGGAGCCTCCTTCCCCCCGGAGCAGTCGGTCGTCGTCCGCCGGCCGCCAGTAACGGTTTCGGCCTTCTCCCTCTACAAACACCACGGGGCCCGGCGGCGACACGTGCAGCCGCCCGCCTAGCTGGCGGCCCAGGCCACTGCCATCCTCCTCCCCCCCCCCCGACACAGACGACAAGAAGGATGCATCATCGAGGTAGTAGTGCTCTTCGACAACGTTGCCTGTGCTCCTCGTCTGTTGATGAGCGCCGACCGCGTGGCCTTCCGGCGACGGTTGGTTGGCGGGCACTCGGAGAGCCTCGCGGATCGCAGGCTGGGGGTGGAGGAACAGCTGCACCCCGTCGGCTGCCGTCTGAGCCTGCGCGTCGGCCGTATCGACTGATCGAGCCACCGGTCGCGAACCCCGCCCACCCTCCTCGTCGTCGTTATCGGCCCCTTCCGCCTCCTCGCCGACAGAGTCTCGAGAAACAGCCCCAGCACCAGCACCAGCAGGCTTCTGTTTTGGCGCTTGCACCCGCGACGACGGCGGTGCTCGACGTCGCCCGCGGCTAGCGCCCCGCCCCCTCCCTCCTCCTCCTCCTCCTGCTGCTGCTGTTGAACCACGCCTCTTACCGATCGCCGGGGCGGGCGTCGCCTTCGGAGAAGGCGCCGCCTTCGACGCCGGGCCGGTTTCGGCGACGGCGGCGGATGCGGCGCGTTGCGACCGCGAGTCCCTGAGCCTGTCCAGCTCTCGCTCCAGCCTGGCCTCCCGCTCTAGCATCTCCTTCCTCAGCGCGTCCACTGCCCTCCTGGTCGACCTGCGCTGGTCGCGGGCACTCGCCAACGCCGCCGAGGACCCGGGATCCGGGCGGGACGCAGACACACCATACCCGCCGCTCCCTGGACCTATCGCCGTTGCTTCCGCCGGTTGGCGGGGCAGCGGCGGTGCCACCGGCACCGCGGCTGCCCTACGGGCGGACGGCGGCTGCGCTAAGGCAGACCTCGAGCGCACGCGACGCCGTTGGCCACTGGCGGAGGCGGTGGCGCGACTCGCTGGCCGTTTTTCCGGGGTCGGGATGGTGGAGATGGCGCGAAGCTCTCGCGGGAGGCCGTGACTCTGCCGCTGCTTGGGGGCAACCACCCCCGGCACGAAATACCCGTGGTAGTGCCCTTCTCCTGGTTGGTCGGCCTCGCCGCCGCCGCCGCCGCTGCCCGGGTGCTTAAGATCGCCAGGCAGACTGTTGCCGGATGGTGCCTGCTGCTGGTGGTGGTTATTGCTGTGATGCTTCGCTTCCCCCCCAAGAAGCTTCCCGTGGCCCGGGAACGTAGGCAAGGGGAGAGGACGATCCGGGTCTACCTGCATTTCGACCAGGGCACGCCTGTCGCTCGGCCTCCTGGTCACGCCCCCGGCAGCCGCCACCGCCGCCGCCGCCACATCACCAGCCCTTCCGCCCCGGGTACCTGCTCGAGCCCCGGCTGCCACCGCGGCTACGGTACGCCGGTAGGACCGCTCACCGCCACCACCGGCGACAGCCGTGATGCCGCTACGCCTCGACACGCCTTGAACGCCGCGGCTAGCTCGATTTGCAACTCTGGCAGAACTTGTGGAGTGGCGATCTAGTGCCCCTCGCCGCTGCTGCCGCTGCGTGGGATCGGTGGGGGCGAGCATGATCGCCGCGTCGAGGGCAATCTTGGCCTCCTTTAGCGCGAACAGCTCCCTGTGAATCCCCTCCACGTCCAGAGCCTGACGGACGACAAACGAAAAGAAAGGAGACGTGTATTTTCCCACCGGAGATCTCGGAGATTTTAGGAGGGGGGAGGGGAAGATTGACAGTTTAAGAGGGTTGTAGACAGTTTTACAGAAGGTGCCAAAACACCCAATTGCATGGCGTCGGAATCTTGCGACCAGCCAGAAGCGAACGCGGGATTCCATGCGGTGGATGCAGCACCAACACCTACAAAGAGCGCGTTGTCCGACACGCACCACCGGAAAACACCGACACAAAGAAGAAAGACTCTACAGTGTATCTTGATAAAAACATTTAGTACGAGAGAAACACACTTGCCTTATCCGAACCATCCCTGCCTGGAGGACGGCTACGTACCAACACGTTTAAGAGCGCTACCACAAAAAAACAACTGGAGTAGCATACGACAGGGCCACTTGCCTCATCCGATCCATCCATGCCGGCACCATCGCCCAGAAGGGGCGAGCCTTGAGTGCGGCGAAGGCCGAGAGCCTGCGCGTACTCCGAGGCGGCGTCGCTAACCCTGACGGGGGCCTGGTCCACCAGCTCGTTCAGCTCGCGGTAGCCGTCTACCAGACTGCGCACGCGCCTCTCGAGACCTGCAACAAAAAAAGGGTCTTCGCGGTAAAGATTTATCGGCGTATTGCTGTGGTTGTTGTTGTCTTCGCAAAAAAATAAATGTTTTGGTCTCTGCTCAGTTTCTTCCAGCATCCGCACGTGTCCAACTGATTGCAGATGTATCTTTCGAAAGAAGCACTTGGCATGCCCAGCAACACCAACACAAACAAGTCTCTCAACGGAACAAACGATTGGTGATTAAGAAAGGGGCAAGTTTGGGGTCTTGTAGGTGGAACACTAGAGCCAGTTCCTGACTACACAGGATGGCGCATGGCACACGACCGGCAAAGGGCGGCAGCAGCGCCGATCTGCGGCCGCCAGCTTGGCGCTCACCCTCCGCCATGACCTCGGTGTCCAGCTGGAGCTTCCCCATGTGCCTCGCCATGGTGGGCACGGCCGCCAGAAGCTTCTCGTACTCTGTCACCACGGCGTCGGCCACGTTCAGGCTGGAAAGTCCCGGCAAGCCCACCACCTCCCCCTCTTCCGAGTTCACCGGAGCTGTGGCCGGTCGGGCACCGTTCTTAATAGCATCGTTTGTTGCTGCACCGGCGTTGGCATTGGCTCGCCGAGAAGGTAGAGACGGCACTGGACGAGGCGGAAAAGCAGCAAAGGTCGGTTTCAACGCGAGAGATGTAGACACGTAGACCATCATCGGATTGAAAGGGTCTTTGAATCGGGTTATCGGACGTCTACCTTCTACTGTATATAGGATCACCAGAGGACTTGTATGAACAGCAGTAGACCTTCCCCCAAACCGACCCACTTTCAGACAGGACGCGAGTCACGAAAATCGATTATTGGCATCTCGAGGAATGCCATTTTCCGTGGCACACTGCTGTACGACGAAAGATCCCGCAACTTGACAGCAGAAAGCTCATCTCACCCCGCTGAGTGTTGGACTTGCTCGATGCGATTCCCTCCCCGGCTGTGGGCGGTATGCTGGCTCTTGCCCGCACACTGCTACCCTTGGTTCTCGCAGCACTTCTCTCCCTCCGCGTAGCAGCAGCAGCAGCATCCATCTGGAGGAAGTTTTGGGGGCACACACGAAGCCCCCCGAGGGGTGTTGGCAGACGAGGGAGTAAGGACGACGCGAGCACTGGCAGTCACAGCAGAGTGGGGGGCTACTCTGTACTGGCACGTATCGTGGCAGCAATCTGTAGGGAACACGGTTTGTACAACGTATCAACAGCAAGTGGAAGTGTACATCAGTACTACACTGTATCCTTGCCCGGAGAGGTGCCGCCCAAGCTCGACCACGAGGTTCATGTAGTGACTATTGTCGGACGTTCCAGCGGGGGTAAGCACACACACCCTATTGTAACACCCTAACCGCTCTTGCTCTGGTAGTTGCGAGCGGCGGCTGGAGTGCCGCCGCTTCAAGACAACTCGGACCGTTCTGCTGTTCTGCTGTTGACTAACGACGTGGTGACTGCCATGGTTTCTGCAGCTGTTTGCGCTTTCTGGAACACCAAAGCCAACAACCTGCAAAGGTCTCACGACCCACGGCTGCAGCAGCCCGCCAGGATGACGGCACTCGCCTTCAAGCGCCTGAGCCTTCAACGTGTCTTGTTCCCGCCGCGGCTGCCTCTATTCACATACCGGTACCGTAGATCTGTGGAGCTTCGCCGGCTGCTGCCAGCAAATCGCCCAACCGTCAATTTTCTCGCTGTTGCTGCCGCACGTCGAGAGAGCGTAAACAGCCGTATCTAAGGACGAAACCTCTGAAACTCAGGAGGCTCACAACCGGGTCATGACTCGGCATCGCAGGCGACTCATAGGCACGCCCCGCCGCTGCGCAACCTGCGCAGTTAGTTTGCTGCACGTACTCAAGAGTTTCTTGAAGAGAAAACGCCTCTTTGTATTATTGGAAGTGATATGCGGCGTAACCTCACGCCAGGTGCATACGACAAACACAACACCGGCGGGCTGCTTGGCTCATTCCTCATATGTAGCGCAACAGAACAGCAGTGGTCAACTAGCTACAGCCCCATATCCAACGACCAAACCGAGAACATCATCGACGCGCCTCTCTTGCCCGTTGCAGGAGGTGTTTGCCTTGCATGAGGGGAACGCGCGGGTTGGTGCTGTTGCTAGCGCTCTGCGATCTTCGAAGCGAGCAGCAGCAACAGCGGGCGGGGGGATGCCATCATCATCATGCGCTTGCGTTTGTCCACGCGCCGGCGATGCCGAGAGGGAGAGGGAGAGGAGCAACCGCCTTGAGTAGCAGCTGTCCTGCCGACGTGGCGGCAGCGAGGAAGGCGACGTCGGTCACGATGACCACGGAGCCTTACCGTGATGTGGAGAGTCAGGAGTACAAGTCGAAGTCCAACCAGCCGTGGCAGCTCAAGTACCACGACATCAAGACCAGGAGAGATGCTGCCGACGCTAGGTCTAAGGTCAGTTGCCCCTTCTTTCGTGGTTCGTGGAGTGTAGCGTGCCGCACGGGTTTTTGGGGCGGCGTTCGAGGCACCGTTATCGCAATAGTTCCTTCCGTTGGGGGATTCAAAAATATGGTTTCATGCAGCATGTTCCGTCCCGCCTTTCCCCATTAGACTAATATCCACGTGCGACGGTCCCTAGAATGACATGTATCCGCGTCAGCTGTTGTTGCATGGTGATGCTCCTGGAGGTGTTCGAAATCTCTCCTGGTCCTGTGTTCAATTTGGGGGCGAAACTAAGCTAAGAGGGGAAGCGCCAATGAGAACGCCGGGCTTGCCTGCCGAGATAATCTGCGCTCGTTTTGCAGTCCTGCTGTGTACATGTAGTTCACAGGTTTCGTTTTTTTTATTTGTTGGACTACAATCTGTGTAGATTTTGTCAGACGCTCTACGAATTCGTTCCCACGATACTGCTGAACCTAGAGTGCTGCTGATGATGTACAAGCCCAGGATAAGTTAGCGATGTTCCTGCTGACCCTCGCAGTATGAAATGAGGCGCCCCCACGTGGGTAATGGCTCAACAAGACCAACAGTAGCATACGTCACCACTACACTCAACTACTAATAGTCACCACTACACTCAACTACTAATAGTCACCACTACACTCAACTATTAATAGTCACCACTACACTCAACTACTAATAGTCACCACTACACTCAACTACTAATAGTCACCACTACAATACAGAAGTGACGGCCCGCTCCGAACAAACATATTCCTTGACAAGAAGATCTGGTATGCGTACGGTGGTCTCTCTGTGGTTGTATGTATGATTACCTGGTGTCTCATAATATAACCGAGACAATCGAGTCGCCGACGTTCGGAAAATTGACAACAGTAAAATAAAAACGTGAGCACGGGCCATTCGTCGGCTGTACTGCTCCTGACCTCCTGACGGGATTGCAAGTTGACGATATGGAACACCCGCGCTGACTCATGAGGCGGAGAGTACACATCCGCCAGAATGACGCAGCAGTAACAACCCAACACGAGTGTCAGCGGTAGTTGGCCGCGGTGCCTCTCCTATGATGCTACTGCCGTATTTAACTGATGAGCCTATTCAGCAATAGCTGACCACAGTGCTTCTGCTATGATGCTGCTGCTGTGCTTGCGTGATACACTTGTTTACTCGCTGTTCCCTCTAAAGGCGTACGATGGGCCGCCTTTGAAGATCATTGTCACCGGAAAGCCGTCGAGCGGAAAAGGCAGCATCAGCCCGATGTTGTCGAGAGCCTACCGAGGGGTGTACATTGCTTCCGGGAATCTGCTAAGATCAGAGGTGTGTAAGTCCTCCAGAAATATTGTTCGCCCATTGTCTTTCGTGTCTTGTTGCTGTTGATGCTGCTGTCGTTGTTGTTGTTGTTGTTGTTGTTGTTGTTGATGGATGATGATGATGAATTCCGTGTTTCTCGTTTTTGCCCCTAAAAAAAACGGTCCTGTCAAAGGTTCTCGGCCTTCTGCAAGGCCTCCATTAAAAACAGCAACCCCGACGAACGCGCGCTCATGTCAGGCGCCAGGCCGTCAAGCAGGGCACTCTTTATCTTCGTTCATGATGATTGTGTAACAGGCACAGAAAACGTCGATTTGGGGGGCTGACTCCTAACAGCTTGGTGAATACGGTTGCGATGAGTGCGTGTATCCTTAATACATACCACCATGTTAACCCTCGTTACTTTTTTGCTACTGGTGGGGAGTTTGATCTGCGGACGGGGGGGGCAGCCGCTTGATGTTGGAAGCATTATGCCACCGACAGACATGTCACGTCTTTCAATCCGCGAGAGATATCATGAGCCCTTCTTGCAACGTTGGACACACAGGCCCAGGCGGAAACATCGCTGGGGAGGAGAGCGAACGAGTTCATGTCTCGGGGGGAGATGCTCCCGTCTGAGGTTGTGTTGTCGCTCGTCACCAAGAGGCTGGCGCAGAGGGACTGCGCGCAGAACGGATGGATTTTAGACGGTACGGTACGTTGGGCGTTCCGTCACCGACGATGATGCGGATGAGCCTTTCCCCTAAAAAATCCTATTTAGCCCAGATCCTAACTCTGTTCCTTACCGTATGGCGCTGACTCTGAGTGGTATGCACGGGCACCACGAATATATTACATCCTACTATAGAATGGTATATCCCTCTGCCGTTTACGGTATATACATGCATGTACCGTCATTTTATATGGTTGAACGACGCTTGTTGGGGAAGCCTTCTCGCCGAGATGGCTGTCATGCCCGTTTGTTTTTGGGCTTGCCGCTCGTTCTCCCGCTGTTGTTTGAGCCACGTAGACGGCTTTGACTTTCATTTGAGAACAACAGCATGGTTGGCCAGCGTCAGCGGCGGCAGATTGAATACACACGTTCACGACAGCAACTTTTATGTTCGTGCGTGTTGTCTGCGATAGCTCAAGGAGCTGGCCGTAGAGCGTGTTTGTACTTGTAATTTGTTTTCATTCACACCGTGGTCGCCGAATACCTCACGGCGCTTCGCGGTTGGTGACGTGAGAGCCTGGTGCCGGTGAGAACCCGGCGTGCTCCGTCCCGGCGTGCTCCGTCCCGGCTTTGTAGGGATGCGAGGTCAATGGTCTAACGACTACGGAATGCACGACTATGAGTACACTCCCCCCCCCCCCCCAGTCACACCACTCTCCCCCCTTTCCCCCTTTGGGGTACATGTCGTCCTAAAAACGTTCCAAGATCGCTCCAAAGAACGTGGCGCACATACACCTATCGGAAATTTTACCGTACTCGGTCTTCAACCCCTGCACTAATCGTGAGTTGTTGTTTTCGCCGTGTTTCCTGTGCTCGCCTTGGATCTTGAAGGACCTTTAGCACGCTCCAGCTTCACTGACTGACTTGCTCCCCCCCGTCCCCTGTCCCATCGGTGTGTGGCGAACGCCAATTTTGGTGAGAAGGGTTTCCAAGAACGCGGGGACAAGCGGCGGATCTTGGCGGAGAAGACATCGTGCCGGACTTAATCGTCATGCTGGAGCGGCCGGATGGACTGGTGAAGGAATTCAGCCTGGGGCGATGCACAGACCCCACCACAGGGGTGATCTATCATCCCAAGGTAATGCGTGTGTCTGTCTGTCTGACTGACTGTCTTTCGTGCTTCTTTTTTTTTGGCGAATCGTTTGGCTGAACCGGAAGTTGGACGGAATAATCATGATAGGGTTGAGTTTGAATGCGAAACGGCTCTGGTTGGTTGAAGCTGAACTGCGGGCGAGTTACTTGGACTGCTCTAGTATTGCGCATTGAATTGCGATTTTGCCCTGATTGGCTGAGACTTGCGTGGAGATACCGGCGCTGCTGCCCTCCCCAGTATCTGCCCATGTGAGATGTGAGTACTGACTAATCTCGGTCGTGCCCCACTGCATCCGTTCGCTTGGGGTTTTGATTGCGTCTCGTGTCTCGTGTTGGCTGCGACGCGTTTCGTTCCGATTCGCGGGCGGTTTCATGAAACGCTCGAGAAGTTCTCGCCGCCCCCGCCGGACGTGGTGCCCCGCCTGACTTGGAGAACCGACGATACGAAAGACGTCATCGAAAAGCGCCTCAAGCAGGTGAATCGACTGTCATGATTTGATCATGTGACGCGTGTGATGATGTGACTGGTGATAAGACAAGAGAAGAGAAGTGGCTGTTGAGGCACGCGTGAGATGACGTACGTCATGTTTCTGCTGGTTCATGACGTAATGGAACAATTGAGAGGTTTCGTGGATACGTCGATCATGCTCATGCTCGATTTTTTTCAGTCGATGGCATCGTCGCTGTTTCATGTGCTTCCTTCCCCCTGACCCACGTGACCAAACAAACTAGCCGGTTTCGCTGCTCGCCGAATCAACGCTACATTAATTCACTCTGTGTCTGAAAGACCACTCGATGCCTCTGGCCTCAGAAATAACAATAAAAACGGCAATGAAAGAAAATACACCAACAGCAGCACTCGAACGCGGTACACATCCTCCACTTCAACGTTACGGTCGTTGCTGCGGCCTGCGCGTACTGTGTAACCTAGCTGGCCATGTTTCCCCCCTCCCCTCCCTTCTCCGTTACGTTGCGGACGTGAACCAGTACGCAGAAACCTCTGAGGGCATCAGGGAGGCATACGAAGACGTCCCTCGCAAGGTGGTGGACTCCTCCAAGAGCGACCTTGACACATTTGCAGAGGTGTGCGATTTCGTGGAAGAGGTGGCCAAGGCTAAGGCGGAACGGCTGGGTCCCGAGGGGATGCGTGAGATTCTGGAGATGGTGGGTTGAGAATGGAGGGCCTGCCGCTCTGATGCAACAGAGAGTCGCAGGCATGCGTGCATGCAATCAGCACAAGTACAAGACAGTGCACGATACTCAGTTGCGCGTTTGCGAACACCATCGTTGATTGGTCGATGTTTTCGGAGAAACACTGGCGCCAGGTGGTGGTGGTGGTCGTGGTGGTGGTTGTTGTCGAAATGGTCTCGTCCCGTGTTTTCTGGCGCCAGTCAGTGTACAGTGTACATCTTTCGGTGAACACGGCTAACGCATCACCCGGGGTGAGTCACACAGCAGGAGGAAGGTGTGCATAAGACAGGGACTCTTCTTTTTTTTTCCGTCGGTCTGGGACAGACGATGGGACACCCGCCTCGTACGGCTGGAGTTAAGGGTAAGGGTTCAGTCCATGATGATTTTGCTCCTTTTGCCGTCGTCGTTGTTGTTTGCGGTTGCTTTTGTGATTGCCGTCGCCGCTACATATTGCTATCGCTGTTGCTGATGGCGTTGCCGATGTCCGCGTCGTTGTTACCGTTGTTCTTGTTGCTGGCGCCATCAGGGGGACATAAGAATGTCGGACGTTCAGAGGCTGACGGAGGAGGAGCAGCGAGCCTTCGAGGAGCAGCCCACCCTTCTTGCCGCGGCCCAGAGGTGCAACCGCTACGTGGCATCGGACTTCACCCCTGTCTACGTCGAAGACGTCAAGGTGAGGATGATCAACAACAATATCATCATCATTAACCACGACAACATTTTGTGCTATCCTTCACCTCTAACGTACATACATAACGCACACGTCTTGGGCGGTTCGTCTACCCCTCGGCGTGTGCGTGCGAAGGTGGGAGCGGTTTCCAGCCAGTTCGCCAGCGAGCTCAACCTCTTCTCCAGCGGCGACGCGGTCATGTACAGGGCGAGCGTCCCGGGGGCCGGGCCCGTGGGCATGGAGGGTCCCGCGTACGTGCTTGCGCCTTACGCCGCCAGCGTGGAGGAGAGGACTCGCGTCGTGAGCGGTCTTGTGCAGGGTTTGGTTGATACTGGCGCCATCCCGAAGGGGGCCCTGAGGAACGAGCTCCAGGTACTGTAGGTGTCTGTTTGTCGATACAGTACAGTAGTACAACAGGTTTCTGAGTGGGGTGGATGTTACACCTGCAGTGCCTTTAACCTCGCAATACGAAAATAAGCGTAATGTCCTTGTGTTACCCTTCTGCATGATGGACATCGGCTGATGCATACATCAAAACACGTACGGAAATGTGTAGACTGGCGCCACAACAGAAAGAAAGAACGAGACACCCACATCGCAACACCCATATATGATATGATACGATAGGGTTCCTACGTAGCATTGGGCGCGTGAGTTCAAAACAAGCTTCGGCCCTATCCCATTCCCTTTCCTGTGTTTTTGAACGTATCGTCGTCGCCCCCCTGCCTCTTTCCACCAATGCCATGATTCTGCTGTGCCCCTTATTCGCGGGTGGTCCCCTGTGTGCGTGCGACGACATGCACGTGCATGCTGTACGCGTATCGTATGCACATTTTATGCATAGGACGTGCGGTCGGCGACCGGAAAGCTGAGCGTGACAGGAGACGTGCTGTTTCGGCTAGAAAGAGCGGCGATGATCCACTTCGGTGTACCGTCGTACGGCGTACACCTCAACGGATACGTCAAAGCCACCGGTGAGCGATGCGGGATAGAAGTGGACAACCCGCAAAACAAATGTGGGAAACCCCGGCGAAACGCCGATGGAACAACCTGTGCTTCTTGTGTGGTTCTGTCGCGTAGAAACGTATTTAGAACCGGTCGTTCTACATTGTCAAAAGAAAGTCCCGACCGTAAGAGTATCGTGACATCGCAGCTACTTGGAGCTGTGCTAAACCTATCACGTTAACTGGTTTGTTGTCTGGCAAGAATTGACCCGAATATGGCTCGCGGGAAGACAAGCAGTCGGGCAGGGGTGCAAATATTTGTAGAGTGAGGTCGAAACAGCTTCAACTCTGCGACCTGCAAATGTTCCAACCTTTCGGTGCCTATTCACGGCCTACACAATCAGTGATTTGACCTCCCCATGATTTGGCGTTTCTCTACGTGTGCAAGTTCACACGATCGAGACGGAATTGAGCGATTTGAGTGAAGCTTCCCGGGAACACAAGCCCATCAACGAATCAAGCTAGCTCCGGAGGACCCTGCTCCGGTGACAAAAGAACCGGGGGCAGCAGTAGCGTAGAGGCGGCGTGATTGGTCACATGGTTGCAGTGACTCCTCCTCCGTCTTGCGTCTTCCATCCATGATGCCATCCTTAATATTGTTGTTGTTTTTTTTGTCATCTTTTGTACCGACATGGGCCCTTTGCTCTTGCCCTGTACCCCATGACGCTACGCTAGATACCGAGCCAATGAGGGTGTGGATCGGCGTGAGGAGCGTGAGCAAGGCCACCTACCCCGGCATGTGGGATCAGATGGTCGCAGGGGGGCAGCCGGCTGGGATGGGGTGAGTCCCTATTCTTGGTGTCCGTGTAGCCCCCGATTAGCCCTACATTTCGGGCAGCAAGAATGAGGTGCGTGCGTCTCTTATCTATTTACTCTTATTCTTGTTGACGTTGAGTTATTGGCAAGATGTCGAGGTCGGGTTCTTTCGACCACGTACTGCCCACGTACTAGCACGTACCCCCCAAGGGGAACATACTGCGGCGGCGTACCGGCAGCAGTTTCGCAGCGTTATTTTTTGCGATTTTTGTCTTTGTTGTTCTGTGTCATTGTCTTGAGCATTGTTTACCGTTTCTGAGGGTTTGTTTTTGTTTTTGTCTGTGTACAGGTTTAAGGAGAACATGCAGAAGGAGTGCGAGGAAGAGGCGAGTCTCCCTTCCAGCCTGTCCTGCAAGATACAGCCTACCGGCCAGGTGCGTAAACTTCGACTATTCAAAAGGCTTGGCCTCGTGTTACGTAGGGAGATGATAAGAAACAGTTCTCCCTCTACCCTCGGACAAGTAATAAAAAAAAGCTTGGTGTTGGTTACTTAGAAAGATAAAAAAGAAAAGGTACAGGTAGATTCACCTGTGCACAATAGTGCCCTTGGACAACGGCAGGTTGCGTTTCATGATTATCTCGAAAAAATATAGAAAGAACGAGCTTCCTTTAGACGTTGAAACTCTGCCGGGTCACGAACGAACGAATCACACGTGCATTTCTTTATCTCTCTCATCTGCACATGTGTCTCCTGAATCACAAGCACTGGTCTGGGCAGGACAGGAACCGTGTACGGTGGGACAGTAGGTTGGCAAACGAATCGCGACTGAAACCCGCGCGTGTGACAGGGGACCTTGAGTAGGACGTACGTACAGCTAAGAACGCGTTCGCTAGAAGTGCAAGTAGAGTCTACCGCGGATTGGACGCTCTTGTGGTAGTGCAAGAGTTCAATGGCGTAACAGCATTGTTGAAAGCGTATCGACGTTCGATATGAAACTACCGACGTCCACCCAAACACATGAAAACATCAATCAATACGCGTTTTATTGAAGCTGTTAGGCTGTTTAGATTAACTGCTGCAACGCGGCGTTTGCCTACGTTCTTGCACACGGTGTGGTACACGCGTGTTTTTCGTTTTGCTTCATTTTCCCTCTCTCTTTGTGTTTCTTGTCGTTTTTTTTTCGTCATGTTGTGTCTTGTGTGTCTACCTTGGATAGTTCTTGGTCTCACGCCCTCTTTTGTTTTCTTTTGCTCCCTCTTTTTTATTGATTGTTTTCGAAGGTTTCGTACCGATACGGCACGAGGAAAGGGTTGAGCACCAAGTTCTTGTGCGTCTTCGACCTCGAGGTTCCGGAGGACTTCGTACCATACAACGGGGATGGCGAGGTAACGTCCCCATCCCCCCCAGCAAATATGCAAAAACAAGCACAAGAGTCGGAAGAAAGTATCACAAAGTTTCGGCATAGCCCCCTGCACGATATAGTCTAATGACTCGAATGGCAAATAATTCTATGCTATGATACCCGAAAAGTGATCGCCAACGTTAAGACGCACACAGGGAAGGGGGCACGGCAGCTGACTGACTTGCCGAGATGATAGATGATAGATGGTAGACGATGGATGTGACAGCAACATCTTGGTGGTGTGTGTTTTGTGTTTGGAAGAAGGAGGGAAGTATGCCAGGAAAACATTTTTGTTTGTTAGTCTTGAAGCTGCTGCGTTGTCAGCACTCTCACGATGGCGGCAAGCAACACAAAGCACCCTCGCCTCCGGCAAACGAGAGAAAGGAGAGAACAACCGCCGCATTAAGTGTTTCAGCAGCTTGTCTTAGCTTTCGAAAGAACAGAGCAGAAGGTGGAAGCGGTTTCATGTCTTCGGCAGCGTTAACGTCAACGATAATGTTCGTTGCCGCGGAAGGGCTGCCTGTGTGGTACGGTACGGTACGGTACGGTACGGTACGGTACGGTACGGTACGGTACGGTACGGTACGGTACGGTACGGTACGGCGGTACTGTAGACTACTTGGGGTTCGGGAGTTAGGTTAGGGTGTGTGGTTGTTCTGGACGAAAATTCGCACTATTATATCTTATCACGCTGCTCCCTCTCCTCTCAGTGCGTGTTCCTCTCCATTCGGTATCTCCGGTTGAAACCCAAGCGTGGTGTTTCCTCTCCGTTGTATTGTCGTCCTGGCGTTATGTTTCCTATCAATCTCAAATTCTTCTGTGAGTATCTTGTCGGACGATGTGTAGCGCTGCAGGTACAAAAACATTGAAAAACAAAACCTCCCCCGTGTCAATGCAGGGAGCCCTGATGACAAGCACGGATCGTAATTTCTAAGAGCTGATTTTTGTTGTTGTGTTTCCGTTTTCCTTTGTGTATTTGCTTCTTAATGCTGCTGATAACCATGGCATATAGGTCTTGGTCTTCTTGTGGTTTGCGCTGATGTCTCTTTTTCGTGATGTGCTTGTATGAGTTGCCGACAACCATGGATCATGTTTTGCTGCTTGATCTTCTTGTGTTTTTTTGTTGTGTGTGTGCTTGTCTAGGTTGCGGACAACCATGGATAATGTTTTCGCTGTTTGTTCTTTTGTTTTTTCTGTAACCCCTTTGCTTTTGGTCCCCTATGAAGGTGGAGGAGTTTATCCTCATGCCCGTGGAGGAAGCCCTCAAGACGATTAAGACCGACCTCGCCAGATGGAAGCCCAACTGCGCCTTGGTCATGATCGACTTCGCTCTTAGACATGGTTTCCTAGACCCAGACCACCCGGTAAGGAACCAGCCACTCAAAGGCTGTCTGCCTTACCTTTCTACCGTAATATCCATCTTATTAATCCTCGTCGACCACATTATTGTATTTGTCTCTGGTGTCGGTGCTATCTATATGGATATGTCCTGCCCGAAATGGTCAATAGCAATACGAATATAGAAACAAACACCCCCCTTCACACTTTTTTCAGTGCGTCTTGTGAACACGACGGTACATTTTTTGTCGATTTGCGGCTTGCTTCGATCTCCCCGCACAAAGGTGCTACTGTAATGATACAGTAGTGGTCCCGGTATAATGCCGGTTGAAGCGAAATCGCCTGGCACAGATGGAGTATTCAACTTGTTACATACCTGAAGAATGCTGGTTGCCCGCTATAATGCCGGGTTGCTCCGACCTCCTCCGTCCAAATGTGATATACATGCATACCCCCCGATAATCTTCCCAGGGTGCCATGCTGTCTGTTTCTAAACCTGTATTCCTCTCTTTCCCCCGCATGTGATTTACTCAACGTATTGACCCTCCATGTTTCATTTCCAGGATTATTTGGAGTTGGTTCACCAGTTGAGGACAGGGCACACAGCATCCACCTTCTAGAAGCCTTTCTAGAAGCAAGCCTGCCTGCGCACTTTGCCTCTTTTTAAAGAGTAGCGCCTTGCCGTGTTTCTTTTTGATGGGTTGTTTTAGTTTTGGACTGAGTGGGACCAGTGAAGCAGATCTGTTCATGGGGTGAAAGTATTCTGTAGAAGAACAGAGGACGCAACAGGCTGTGCTGGACCAGAGTGGGCGAAATGACTGCCGGCGGCAACGTCTGAGTGTGATGGTGGTGTGCAGAGTAGAACATCGTCATGTATGCATACTGTACATGAGGTGGGTATGCTGGAGGGGCGGCGAGTCGGATCACGTCGTTTCCGTCTCCTGCGCGAGGCGGGATGATGATTCACGGTCTACGATACCATCCTGCAAAGGTTGCTGTGGACCATCAGTGTTAGTTTCGACTTTGTACCAAGTGACGGAAACAGCGAGCGATCGTTTGGTGGTGTACTGCAGCGATACAGCAGTGGTGTACCGTACGATGGCCTGTGGTTGTCTCACTTGTAGTGGACGGACAGACGGGCGGACGGTGAAGTTTTTCCGATATCGCTACGGGCCAGGGCGGCTCGCCTTGACCGGTTGTCGTTCCCGTCATTCTTCTCTTCGCGATTTTATTGGATTTGAAGGGTAGTCTAGCACTTCGGAGTAGACGTATTTGTTGTGCATCCCTGCTGTTTTTGTTCTCCGGATCAGTTGAAGCGCAAGAATCTAGGAGGGCTCATACTCGTTCTGCACACAACACGCAGTCTAACTGCTGCGCTACACTGCTGCTGTGTCCGGCTAGACAACGTACCATATAGTAGGCGACGTGGTGAAAGTTGGAATAGGGCATTTTGTTGATGAACACTTAGTTGAACTTGGGGCGATTGCTGGCTCCAGTTGGTTTGCGTTGTTTGGCGGAACCCACAGGTCCCGACCTATTCGTATATTTTTTCTGTAGTTTTGTTTCTCATGTTGTACTTAGATGCGTGGTATTTGTTTCATGTTTGGTTTTAAGAGGGCCGTGTGTAGAGCGACAGTCAGCCCACCTGTACAGCCGTAATAGATGATGCCGGTACAGAAAAAATTGAAACGTGAGGTCGTGTGGTTTGAATTCCTTTCGTGTTTTGAGTCACCTCTACAACAATAAATAGCGCTATCTATTGACCAGAGTGACACCGTAGAGACGAACGAGTGTTCCTCGAAGTTTGTATTTGAAGGTATATGATGCCTATCTCTTGCAAAATAGATGATTCCTATCCCCGGAAGGAACGCCTCGGGCGCAACAGTTACTGTGTCCAAACGTTCGCATCCATACATTGTACGTTAGTTGGTAACGGCTGCAGCTAAGCAGTAGCTTTCTTTGTAATTTCGAACCCCCCCGGCTTGCCTGTGGCATGTGCACACTAAATCTACACGTCTTGTCATCGCACAACAAGGAAAAATATGATCAACGCACAGAAGTATCAGGGTAAGTCGTCAGTAGCGACCGCACCACCTCAAAAGCTCTGCCAGAACCCGTTGATGATCTGCTGTAGACTATGCTTTCTTCGTCAGTACTTCCTTGCCTCCGCCGAGAAGAGGGCTGCAACGAACCCGCCTACACAACAAACCTGCTGTCTGTGCGCCACACATGCTATCTATGCCCACCTCAGAAACTAACTGCTGTATGTGTCCTCCTGTGGAGACTACAATACATGCACATGTACATAACACTACTGCTGTAGCTGCTGCCGTAGTTCCACACCTTTTCTCTCCACATGACTTGACCAACGATGGTTGGTGATCGTGAATGGTGCCTGAAGAGGTTAATTACAAGAGAAGTAGGACGGCTACTGTAGCGTCGGCGGTTTTGTCACCGTGTATACGGTTGGGCAGGATTCCTCTGTGTCATTACGTACAGCAGAGTAGGTCACGATCGATTATGTGCGTGCTCTGGTGGTGGTGCACTACTAGTAGTCTACACCTTGTTCCGGTAGACTAAAAATATTTTTATGTTGATATGGGCATGCGCACATACATATGCATAGGAAACATCGTCTACTGCGGTTGTAACTACAAAAAACACAGAAAGACTATAGACTAGTACCCATTCGAGATAAGATGTGCGTTGTGCATCATCAGGAACGATTGTTGTAAAGACGGATGGGGGCTGTCAACGTTGTCACGTACAAACAAACCACGATGTACGGATGGATGTATTCACTCACGACTTTCATGTAAAATCCTGTAGTAGCTGCACACAGGTTGTGCGAGGCAGCCTCACGGCCGCACATCACGAGAGGACACGAACGATTTGATTTGGGAGCGGAGCGGCTGGGCGAGCGGCCTGCAATCAATCATTTTCTGCTGCCCCTCGTATTTTGTTATCGCCTTGAACCCTTTGTTTGGTGGGCAAGGGATGCCGAGATCGAAGAGGAGGAGCCACAGAAGCAGCGGTAGTACAAGCAGTCGTGGTGTATTGGTCCAAGACACTGTTCCAGTTCACTCACTACTTCTGTGTTCCATGATATATATGCACATCTCCTCCTCCTACGTGTACATGTAGTTCCGGTTACCGATGTTGTGGAGCAGGTGGTGGAGTCGTCGAAAATGGTGCATTTGCATTTTCAAATATCGGATCGGCACATTGGATTTTTCAAACCCGTGTATTTTTGTTGTTGTTCTAACACGTCGGCGCAGCAGCTGCAACGTGGCAACCAACGGAAGATAGGGAGAGCGCAGTACCGCTGTTGGTGCCCAAGAGCGCGACTTTTCCATGCTTCCACACCGAACCCTCACCCCACAGCAGCAGCAGAAACAACAGGTCAGCGCCATCTCATGCCGCAGGTTTGACCCCCCCCGCCGTCTTCGGATGCATGCATTTGAAGTTGGAGCTGAGTTCCAGTTCCCAGGAACGTTCCTGGGGCAGGCCTCGAACTGCGGCCACCGAGGTTCCGAACAGTTTGTTTTTTTTTAGATTTATTTCATTTACTATCAGAGTGCTTGAACGGCGGTGCAAGTGCTAGTCAACTTTCAGATATATTCCATTTGAGTAAGGGCATAGAATGATTGAAGAGAACGTGCGGGTGTGCGTCCGTGCGTGCAATTGCAACATTTTGTTCTCAATAAGATACACGGCACACACGGCACGCCCCGGCTGCGTACAACACCTCTTGCCTTTCCCTCTCCTGCTGCTGCTCCCTCACAGCTTACAGCTGCGTAGGGACACGCAACAAAGGACACCCGCACACACACACACCGAGCAAGCAAGCTTTAATCTACCGCTAGCCGTCGGAGGGCAAGGATAATGTTGGTGGAAGTTGACAACGATGCGGCGGGCGCTGCTGGTGCTCATCCTCCTCCTGCTGGTGGTGTAGTTTCATTTTCATTGTCCCGCTCTCTTTCGATTAGGGTGGACGGAGCCGCCAGGCACGGAGACTTCGCGCTCGTGAGCCGCCTCCTGCAGGCCGCGCGCGCTGCGGGGATGCTGCTCGACGGAATCAGGGGGAGCCTCTTCATGTCGGCCGCGTTCGGGGGCAATGCCAACATCGTCAGGGCTCTGGCCCAGGCTGGCAGGGGCGGCGGCGGTAACGGCAGCGGCGGCGGCGATGACACCGTTATCGCCGACATCAACAAGCCCGACCTGTCGACGGGGCAACGGCCCCTGCACGTGGCCACGCGCCTGGGCCACAGGTCAGCTGTCCGTGCCCTCCTCTTCTACGGAGCCGACGTCAATGCGCCCGTGCAACCCCTGCCTTCTTCCAAGGTGTCCTGGCCGAAGACGCTGCTCGGCGGCATGACGGCACTGCACTGGGCGTCCCTCCGTGGCTACTCCGAGATCGTCGAGGACCTGATAATGATCGGGGGCGATCTGAACGCGCGGGTCTCGCACTCGGGCGAGACGCCGCTGCACCTCGCGGCCAGGCACGGGCAGGCGGCGGCGGTGGGCGTGCTGCTGGACGCGGGTGCGGCGGCGTCGGTGTTTTCTCGGCACAACCTCTCCCCGATGGATCTCGCGGCCTCGTCGAACGACTCGAGCACCCTCATCGAATTCCTCCACCGCGGGATGGATCCCAACGCAAGGAACGCGCTTGGATACACCGCGGTGCACCAGGCCGCCTACAACAACGCCTCCGACGCCCTTAGGCTGCTTCTCGAGTCCGGCGGGAGTGCGAGCTCGGCTACGGACGTGGGCCACTACACGCCTCTGCACGTGGCAGCTGCCTTCTCTACCCGTTCTTCTGCAACAGCAGCGCCAGCGCCAGCAGCTGGCTTTATTTGCCCAACCAACAACAACAATAACAAGGACACCGCCGCCGCTGCCCGCCACGCCCCGGCAGCAGCCTCTGCAGTGCGGACCATCGTCCGCTACGGCGGGGGGGCGGACGTGCTGCGGGTGGACGCCCTCGATGCGGAAGGCTCGACGCCGCTCCACACGGCCTGCGTCAACCTCCAAGATGAGGCCGTCCGCGACCTGCTGGACGTCGGAGCGAACGAGAAGCTTTTCACCCTGTCCATCGGCGACTTCGTGAAGACGACTCCTGACAACTACGGCGCGGGGGGGGCATCTGCTGCAGGAGGTGGTGGCGGTGACGACACGTGTGATCGCACCGTGAGAATCTCTCGGATCATGGCCATGCTTGCGGCGGCGCCGGCGGACAGGGCGTGGCGCCGCCGCGGGTGGCTGGCCGTCTTGCGAGCCAGAGCAACCGCGGCTCGAGCGGCCTCCGTCCTTGACAGCATCTCTCGATTCTACAGCAGCAGCAGCGGCGGCGGCGGCGGCGACGGCCGCGGCGGCGGTACCGGTGGCGACGAGGAAGGTTACGGCGATAGTAGCCGAGCCTCCTCCCGAAAGCGGGCGTCCTTCGACGCTACCACCGATGCGTTTGTCGACGGCAACGGCAGCAAGGCCGGCCGGTTCACGACGGAAGGAGGAGGGACGGCGGGTGGTGGTCGTGCAGCGGGGGAAGGCGGGGAGCGGGGGTTGGCGGCGGTGGTCAATACCGCGACGGCGCTGGAGGACGAGGGTGTCTTCAGGAGGATCGTGCTCTACCTGTGACTGCCGTGAGGCAACGGCGGCGGCGGCGAAGTTGGTCGGTGAGTACTGCTGAACTGGATAACGGGGTCTTGCTGCTGCTTGAGTTGTGAGTGTACCGGTAATATTTGCTTTTGTCTCCAGTGCTCCACGTCAAACACTTTGTATGTTGTATGGAAGTATCTGTAGAAATGTGCTTTTGTAATTGTATTTAATGCTGCAGACACGAATGAAATAAGGACGACTACATCGATAGCCACAGCTAGCATGTAAACCGAGTTGGGCGCGATTGGTTTTCCCGCTTTCCGCCCCCCCCCCCGCTGAGTCTTGCGTCTAGGTGTCCTACTTGTACGGTAAGCATAAAGGCGTTCATTCTCACACGTTTTGTTCGAACATGATGGGCTGGTGATGGGTAGTTTGAAGTATTTTTCAGGTTCAATCTCGCCTAGAAACCAAAGAGTATGATACTGAAATGTATGTACACGTAATGGTGCACATTTTACATCAAACATGGTGGCGTAATTATTTCGCTCTTTTTTTGCTCTCAGAAAATATTCGCAACAGCAAGACACACACACCTGTTTCGAGAAAATGCCCCGTTCAAAAGTGACTTATTCGAACGTACAACAGTACTTGGACGGACAACACAAAGAACGAAAGCGTTTTAGATATGCGTGACACCACGGTTCGAAGGGAGTGTTCACCACAAAACCAGAAGCCCCGTAGATGCATACACGCAGAAGGTCACTAGATCTTGGGTGCCAGAGACTTGACTGACTCGATTGAAAACACCGGTGGTTTTTGATACTGGAGTTATCACGTTGTAGTACACTATTATAGTTCTCGGTGGACTCTGCAGCAGATCTATCGCCCTTTCGCCAAACAAATGCAGCCAGCCGCAGTGTGGTGAACTTTTGTCCGTCGCTCCTCCTGTAGTGATCACCTACTGTACCACATTATCACCGCCCTTTGCTTGATGTTTGTCCTTTTCCTCGATGAAACTTCCCCGCAATTTATTTCTTACTTGCCGTTGTACGATTCAGTCCCGCGCCACAACGCCCAAAATCCTTGGTTCGTTCAATCTTCAATCTTGCATGCAGATAAACCTCTCGGTGAGATCGGGTGTATTTCTGTTGAAATTCTTGGGAGGTTGACCAAACCACGCACCCGTCTCGTACGAAAAACAAACCTATCGGTGCGCCGGCGGTAAAATCAACGACACGGGCGGGCGTGTAGGTAGAAACAAACCCTGCTGACCCCCGCTCGTCCCGCCTCCGCTCCTGACCACCATGACGGCAGTATCATCCTCCATGACACCAAAGCTACAATACGTAGAGATATGTTGTTTTGTTCGGTCTCCGAAGCATCCTTATCGTCAAGTCATTTTTCGTCTACACGCCAAACCAGGAGTAATGGAAGTTCTGCTCGGAACCTCCCCCCCTTGTTCCCCTCCTTCACACACTCAT